TTTGTTCTCCAACTCAACTGCGCTTACGTCAGCGTCTTTTTGAAGCAGCAAAAAATGAATTTCATTTTACGCTTTTTTCATGCATTTCAATTTGAGGCAACAAAAATGCTAGATACTCATCTCATTCATCTGAAATTTTTTATATATAATTATTGGCTATTTATGCTACCAAAAAATACCATGGAAGCTGCTGCAAACAAGAAAATGAATTTCAAATGGCCTTGATTTTAACATAACTCTTTTAACAGAAACAGAATTTTTTTTTAGAAAATCCGTTAAATTCAGAATCAAGATTCCAAAGGAAAGCAGCGCCGCTTATGAATCTCTTCCGTTCGACTTATTCGACTATTATTTCAAACTTTTTATGATAGTGTACCAGTGTTTAAACTTTCCTGTGTTCCAAAATAAAATTTTTCTCTATTTTTCTTGCGTTAAAATGTATTAATAACGGCTTTTATGGCACAGGTTCAATAAAAATTGGCACACGTTCAATTAGTTGTAATTAAAAACCAAACTGCAGCAAATATAAAAACTATCGAACTCCACTTTGATCTTTTTGTTACCAAATTTTTTGAAAAGCAAAAAATGTATAATTAAACAGTAAAAATGCAAACGAATTGAATAAGCCTGAAATAATGATCCTTTATAATTAACAGAAAACTTCAGCAAAGAAAAAAATGATTAAGATACAAAGCTGTTACACCTCAAAAAGTTGTTTTAAACCAGCAAAATTATTTAATTGTTAGAACAAAAAATAAATCAAATTACAAAAATAGAAATTCTTAAGTCTCAAAACAATTCTTAAGACTCACAAGGCGCAAGAAAAAGAAAATGAATGATGATTTGGTTTTTTATTATCAAGAAAAGCAATAATTCTTGAACAGGTTCACATAACGAACCACAACTGATAGGCTGGTAGTTTTGTTTACTTTCACCATTACACGACCATCTGGATGTTTTGGTCATAGAAGTTCTCTAGCCTACAAAAATTCAATTAGGATCTTCCGGTAAATATCTTTCGTTTTTGGCTAGGCGTAGGCTTTCATTTTGACTTTCTACCCAATGTCACCAAAAATGGTAGTTATTGGTTTTTTTTGAGAAAATATTAGCAGCTTTTTAAAGAGAGCAAGCAGCCGTTTGTGGGTATGCACTTTTTAATACCTGATACAAAGAGACCTCTGGGGCGTAGTTAGAATTTATACAGCTTCCCTCATAAAAATCACCTCTGTCATTTGTCTAAGAGAGCATCGATTTACAACAGAACGTCTGAAAAAAAGACAAAAAGAGCAGCATCAGTTGGAGTCGTGAGTATTTATAATAGTGATACTCATAATAACGATCATAAAACTATAAATTTGTTCAGGCCTATTAACAAAAATACAGGGTAATTGTAAAAATTACAGTTTGGTTTCAAGTTTTTTTTACAAATTAAATAAAGCTAAATGAAAAGAAAAAAATCTACAAGGCATTAAAAACGACTAGAAATCTAAAGGATAGATTTTATTTTAATCACAGAATTTTAAAGTCCTGCTCTAGAAAGAAAAGGAATGAAATGATGAAGAAGATAATCAAATGACTTTGAAAAATGGGATATCAACAAAATGCCGTACCGGGCTGAACTTTTTGCTTTTATGTTTCTGTGGAAGAAGGAAAAAGGACGATCAATTAGGATCAGAGTACATAAAATAAAACCAAGTAGAACCCAATCGGCCTTTTGCAAAAAAAAATAGAGTTTTGGGTATAGAATTTGATCACAGTAATAAGCCAGATAGTTCCTTTTCAAGCAAAAATTTTAAAATGTAGTTCCTCTACATCAAATGAACCTCCAAACTGTGAAAGGGTAATTTTGATAAGCATTCCATAAGTAAATCTGCCTTCCAATTTTAAGTGGGGAGTACTTGAATAAAAGACCGTACTATAGAAAGCTTGAATATTTAACAATTTGCGACGAAAGCAAGGGCTCCTCAAAATTGACCAATTTACAAGTAAATTATAACCAATTATGAACGGGGAGTGGGTGTGAAGTTTTTAAGTCTCCGCTTCTCAATCGAAAGGTGATATGCTCTCCTCCACTCAATTAAAAGGTTGGATATTAAACAGGGGAGCGGTGGCGAACTGCTTACGTCTCCGCCTCTCAATCGAAAGTTCGGATGTTCGAGGCTCACCAAGATCTGTGCTCGTTACTTGAGGGTGAGGCACAATGATACAACCAAGAAAAATAGAATTTATAATTATCTTAACCAGGGACTCAACAGAAACCCCTCCGTTAAGAGCTAAACAGTCCGTTTGTTGGTCCTTTTTCTGAGGATGAATAGTCTTAATTTTAGATTACACTGAAAATTATGCCAAACTGGGTTTTTTTATTTATTTTCGATTCTGCCATCTGATGTGAGCACCACAAGTTTATCCAAAGACATGGGACAAAAAAATGTCAACTTTTTGGTTTTAATGGGCGATTTTGTTTTTAACTTTTTTGCTGTTTGTCTGCAAGTATTTTAGATTTGGGTTTGAATTTTATTAGCGTGCTAAATGAAACTACTTGGAAAGAGTTAACTGTAACAGCATTTTAGAAATTGGTTTTCTCCGAGATTCTTCTGAGGGAACATTTTAACAGACATTGCAAATAATTTGAGTTATATGCTAAGTTCGATTCTTTGCGAAAGTTCATGCACTTGACGTCTTCTTTATTCCACTGAAAAACAATAGAGCGGCGCTTGAAGGTCTTGGACGTTTATGCAAGAAGGTTTGACAAAATTTACAGAGAAAACATTTGCTTATAAGAAACCTGTGCATGGATTAGAGCAAATATTTTCAGAAGTATTGGCGGAATCAGTTTCTTCTTGGCCCATTTCAACTTTCAACGAAAAAAAACCCATATTTTTTCAGAGTCATGTTTGACGCCAAACCAGGTAAATATTTCAATTTTTTTGTCTGTCAATTTACTGTGGCATTAAGAGTAAGGCAAGCTTATCAGCTTTGCAAAGAAATTATCCGGTCTCACAAACTCAAGTTTTTTGTGTTGTCTGCGAGGATGTTTTCACTGCAAGATTTTGGGTGTACCGTAACTATCGTTACAGATTGAGCTAATATTTGGAACTACACTTGTTTCAGAATGTTTTATCCATTCCACCAGTGGATTTAGGGGGGAGCGGACGCTGCCTAAGTTTCTCATTTTGAGGGGGAAGCGCGCGCCGAAAAAAAAGCAATTTTTTGGTCAACATTTTCCAAAAAGAGCAAAGAAATTTTTAGCCAAAGTAGGGATAGGGTCTTTATAGTGATTTGGGAGAGTTCAAAATATTACATTGGTCGACCAAAAAAAAGGTCAACAAAATTTTTGAATTTTTTTTGGAAATCCCCCCCCCCCCCCTTGGCGAGAAAATCCTAGATTCGCCCCTGATCCATTCATCTTTGGATTCCACGCCCGAGAGAAGATCAAACAAATTTAGCCTCGTAGTGCAGAACACTAAATTGTTTTTTTTTCTTTCCGTTGGCACTTAACAGTCAACGGATAGGCATACTGATGTGGACAATACAAAAGAACTTTTTTTTATAAACATCTAACAATATTGGAGGGGGGGGGGGGGGGGGTTGGTGAGAGTTTAAAAAAGGCTATTTGAATTACCTGTAGTGGAAACATTCTCCCCCTTCCACCTGAAAGTGTCGCCCGTTCTGTCCTTGAAGAAGAGAAAGCCCTCCCTGTCCATGACCAGAGTGTCCCCCGAGAGGAATGCCAGGTCCCCCTTCCTGAACACATCTCTCGCTATCTTCTTCTGCGTCTCGTCCTTCGCAACATATCCGTCGAACTTGCTGATCGCGTCATTCGCAATGATTTTGCCCACTACTTGACCAGGCTCACCTGATAAACAATCTAGATATGTTTTAGTGGTCAACCTCCGGGTTTGGCCTCTGTTGGTTTACAAACGAAAACCATAAACTGCTCTGCGAGGAAAAAGTCCAATACGAGAGTATGTTTAAACAAGATTAAATCCCGCAATTCTGGAGAACCTATCTAAGGTTTTATTTGTTGTGTGAAGTTACTTTATGATCAAATTCGGCTATGGAAAAATTGTGTTCGATGGAATTGTTTCTCTTTCCTAGCTAAAACTGGTTCAGCACGACGGTTTTGGGTGAAAAACTACAACAAGTTTTTTCTTCAAGCCAATCCAGTTATTTTTTAGGCGTTTCGACCAAAGATGGGTAAAAATCTACTCAGTCGACCAAAAACATTTTGGTCAATTTTGATCTACCGAAGCCATATATATTTCGACCGTTTTGACTGGATTCGTGTATGTTACGACTTTCTCCGCCGGAGAATTCTGTGCTTCACTTCGTTAGACACGAGCCAGATATAATCTGGCTGTCTCGACTTAAATCGTAGATATTCAAATTTCTTGACTAAAGAAAATTTCGCTCGACCTAAGATTTTGTTCGACCAAAGTCAAATAAGGTTTGACCATCTCAACCAAAGTCGTTTGCGAATAGATTTTCTCCAACAAAGAGAAAAAGGGCTCGGGTCAGTTTTCAAACCAAGCCAGAGATAGGGTGCTCTCTCTCAGTGTATGTTTTGACCGTGTTCCGCCGAATCGGATCTTTTTTTGAACGTGATGGCGCTGTTTTTTTTCTAACCGAACGGGAGGATGATTTGACAGTGCTCAAGGTGTGCTGTGACCGTTTCTGGGTACATTTTGACCGCGCTTAACATGTGTTTCGACCATCCTCGAGGTATGTTAGGTGCTCGAGATATGTACAAACCCTACTCGATGTAAAAATCGACCGAGGTCGAATTTTTTTTCGGCCTACCATCTTGACTAACTTCAACTAATATGAATTTACGGAAATTATTGTTTATACTTATCATGGAACATTTCATGGTCATTTTTGATCAAAATCAATTTATTGGAGACATCTGTAAAGCGAACGCCTGGTAGAAATCAAAATACCACTGAGTTGAGAATTTTGAATTTGCAAGTATTCTGCTTTTCAATTGATTTCAAAAATGTTAACATAAAGTTTGATGTTTGAAAGAAATTTTCTCAGAACCTAACAGGGATCTCCTGAATTTTCCCTGGCTTCTTTCTATCTCTCTTTAATTGAATGTGTTGGTTTTTGCACCACTCTTTGATAGAAATATTTCCTTGAGCACCAATTCTTTTGCTCAAATTTTCAATTGTTGTAAAAATATTTAAAAAGTTTTTTTCTTAAAAAATAAATTGTTTTCAATTCGAAAGTGCTCGACCAAATTTGGGCATGTTTCGACCGTGCTCGAAATAAGTTCCAAGTTTGAGCTCGAACCAGACCCCTGTATTGAATGAGAACTTTTTGCCGAGCATCGACATTGAGCTCGACCTCTGAAATTTAAACATGAAAAGTGATTTGCTAGACCTGGGTACTCAACTGAGTTTTTATTGGCTAATTTTTTTTCTATCATTTTATCGCACCTGGTTTGCACTTGACACACACTCCTTGTGCATCTCTTATTAAACTTCCCTGGGGGTCCACTTTGACAAGAGTGATCGGGAAGACAGAGGGGAAGAGACGACTAGTGAATCCACATGCACCCTCCCTCTGTGATAAGTTGATGGTGTTGGCGTTTCCTTCAGTCGAACCGTAGAGTTCCAGCACTTTCGGAATCTGGAACCTGAAAACAAAATCCGGCTCTTTTCTGATATACGGCCCAAAATCAACAGCAGATCAAGGATAATTAAGCTCCTGTTGTCAATGAAAATTAAGGTGCGTTCATTGGAATTAATGGTCAAAAATTGTTAACATTGTCAACCTTTGCAAAAACGACTTCCACAATTCCTTTTTGAGTCCGGCTCCTAAGATGAGTCTGAGTTTGTGCTGAGTTTCCTCGCTTGTGATTGGCTGCGCGTAGATGTATCTGCAGATCTCCCCCAGGTAGATGAACATGGTGGCTTCTGATTCTTTGATGTCCTTCCAGAAACTACTGGCTGAAAATTTTGATCTAAACAATTAAAGATCAAGATCATTTATTTACTAGGGAAATTAACTAGCATACGAGCTGTTCTGCTTTTTTGGGTCAATGGCTGTTTGAACCTTTTTAGCATATCAGCATATCAGCATATCTGGCTTATTAACGAATTAAAATTTTTTAAAGACGCCCATGGAACGAAGAATATATGCTTTTGAGGTAAACTGCGCGCCAAACAACGCTGTTTTTGTGTGCCCAATAACGGAATTTGTTTGCAAAAAAACCTGCGGCGCAGAAACTTGCACTAGATAAGAATTTTTGACGATGGGGAGGGGAGGTTTAAAAAAATTGGTATTTTTTCAAGTTCAGCTATTTTGAACATTTTTAGCTCTCCCGAAACCTGGTAATGATCATGAGCCTTTCACAGCTCTCGCACAGGCCTAAATGCGCTTCTACCGGAAGAAATATGCTTGCCTGAAAGCCATGCAGCATCCTCTCGTCAGCACTTGGGTGACCCCTAACAGTCCTGCATTGGAATGATACAAAGGTAGAGGTGACCAAATAATGTCTTCACACGTCGTCTTCAGAACCTCGTTGAATGAAATCCCGATCGAGATTATTCTAGAATTTTTCAAATTGGCCGCTTTGGGCAGACCGGTTGTTCCTGATGTGAAAATGTAGAGAACGGTGTCGTCGTAATTTTTTTTGGGCCGAATGAAAGTTGTGTCCTGGAGTTTTTTAGTTTCCTGGTCAATCTAAAATTGTCGAATATCCTTGACTAATTTAGAAGTATTAAAGCTTAGAATTCTTGTTCCAACCGCTCTCGAAGAGTATGTTAGTTAATAATTGTATCGTATTCAAGCTATTTACGAAGGCGTATTGTAAGTTTATCCCAGACGTGATTCGGGCTAGTATATAAAAAATGAAAAATTGTCGGCAAACGGTTCTGATTTTTTTCCGAAGCTGTGTAGTGAGAATATTGGTCACTCTCTATTAGTCAAAAATTAGTCAATAATCTCTACGTATTGTAGGGTGGCTCAACTCATTAAGGCTTATTTTATGTAAATTAGAGACTAATTTCAGTTAACTCGTGCTTCCAAAGAAAACAGCAAAAAATTATACAAAAACAAGGACAGCTGGTTGCTGTGCAAAGAGCACATAATTTTCCGACCACATTCATAAAAAAGATTTTTTTTTTCTTACTTTTCTGCAAATTAGTGTCGTTTTTAGTGCGTAGTGTGATTCGATGAATATACGATCGCGTAGAAAATTATTAAGCTTAGCATTATCGACAGGATTTGCCTTCAAAAAATGAATAATAATCAAAAAATGAAAACAAGACAGCCGGTTACAGGGCAAGCAGCACAGAATGATCCGACCATAGTCTTAAAAAAAAATAGAACAACGTTTTTTTCAAAATATTGTCGTTTTTTTTGGCGTGGTGTGATAAAAGAAGCAGAACAAAAAACAAGACATTAGGTATATTCGACAGCCATATTAAAATAAGCAAATTGCAAATCAACTTTTAAAGAAAAATTACTAGAAAAACGAAAAAAGGAAAAAAAAAATGCAAGTTTTCTGCAGTTTTTTAAATTTTTGAAAATTTTGATTCCAAAATGGCGCTAAAATACTCAAAACATACTAATTCTACCCAAGTGAGTCTAAAATTTTACGTTTTAAATTAAGCTATTGTAAGCTTCTAAGCGGTTAAAGGTCTAAATTAGACTGCTCGGTCGCTTTATTCTTTCGAAATAAGACGAAAATTTTTTAATGTGGTTCTAATTACGACTGTAAGGGCTTTAATATGATAGATCACTCAACCCAGTTCGATGATTATTTGCGGTACATGATTTTGCGTAAAAAACGAAAAAGAAAAAGTTTTAAAAAACTAAAACGCACCCTAATACAAAGTTCCTCCCCATTTGTTTGTTGCCAAGGAGGGGCTAAATGAAACATCAAAAATTAGTTTTCTTTATAGTAAAAGGTCTAAGAAAGCCTAGAAGCTAACAAGACTGCTCGTATCAGGGCCAAGCGTTGATTCTTCCGACTGCCTTTTAAGGTTTATGGAGCAGTAATAACATGAAAAAATTGAATGTAAAAAAAATGAAATTTTTTTTCTGAAATTTGAACATTTTATGAAAATCATCGCTCCACACGCCATATTAAGTAGAAAAAATAGATTTCGCTGCTAGCAACAATCAATTATGGCACAAAACTTATTTCAAACAATTTAGAACGATTTTTAGAACGGATTAAACCTCCGCTTACGCGTTAAAAGTGCGAAACATATCGCGCGTTAATTGTCCCAAATTGGCCAAAAGGGCAATATTTAAAACACCATAATTTTACAAAAAATGATCACAAGTGAAGTATCTTTTCAAATTTAAGCTGAGGACAACAATAATTTTTGAATAATATTTAAAAAATCCGTCAAAAATGGCTAGTTAACAAGTCGAAATTTGTCTGAAGAAAAAAAAACCCACCCCGAGCACAAATATTCCGTTATTTTCGTATCGAAAGTACGAACAAAAAAGTAAAAGTCCATATAACAAGTTGTAACATCATTTTTGGTACCTGATTGTGCGTGGAATAAAATGAAAAAAAACTACAACACGCGCAAATACAAATTTCCTCCCCATTTTCAATGATCGGGACAATGAATTAAATTACTTTTAATTATGATTATATTGTTTTCCTTTTTTCTGGGCATTTTACTCCGATCGAAAAGTTCTGCGCTATTTGCACCTGCAATTGGTTGCTATTCTTGCTTCATAGATTGGAATGTTTATAGAACAGAAATACAAGATGCGAAGACGGAGTATCTTTGACCGGATTAATAAAATTTTTTTCTAGCCTCTTTGCAAATCGATTTCCCAAAGTGATTTGGTAACAGACTTCGATTCAATTTAACAGACTCCCGTAGTGGGTGACAGGGAATAGTATGGATGTGGTTTTCCTGGTGTTTATTTTAAAATTTCAGGTAATCATGATCGAGTTGGCCACAAAATAATGTTATTTAAACATTTCATTTTCGAGAAAATCATGTCGTTTTAAATAGATTTGGCCACAAAATCGGCCACAAAATAATGACATTTATACATTTCATTATCGAGAAAATCATGTCGTCTTAAACAGATTTTGTTTTCCATTTTTTTGTTTGAAGTTGTTATGCAGGAGAATTTTTTATTTTCAAAAATGTCAGTGTATTGTTTCAACGCAACTGTTTTCTTTTCATCCAGCATATGCAACTTGCAAATTGTATTTGCGTTGGGGACTTTCAGGATATTATTGTAACATAAGTTTGCAATAGAAATTTGGAGTCAAAACATACCATGGTCGAAAGAGAGCTGACGAGGAAAACAATTTAATAAAAACGTGTTACACCATAGAGCACTAAAATTATCATTTAAAATTATTCTTAGCTCTTGTTTGAAAATTATACAGTATTTGTTACGCAAGAAGTTCCACTGCTTAGCTTTAAAAAATTTGACACGGTTAAGGTTGAGTTACCAAAACAAAAGTACCTAGATATCGATCAAAATTTTAATACAGGTTCAATCATTCAACCATTGCAACACTATTTAGAACCATTATTTAGAAGAACAGTTTTTTTCATTCACATACACAAAATCTTTAAAAATCCCAAAAAAAAATATTGTTTGCATTATTGTATTGTTTTTCAATTCGCTGTTTTTTTTTATTTTCAATTGCTTAGAAAGATAAATAAAATGATTAACTTTCATCAATATAAACTCCTGTTTCTGGCGATAACTTCTTCGGTTTTTATACTGTTTATCGTGCCCCCCTCTCACCAACAACAGATACAGCAAGAAGAGTGTGTAGCCTCGTTTAAGGGGGGCAAAAAACTGGAAATTTCAGAGGGGGACAAAGGAAGCATTCTTTCAGCTCTCACTGTGGAGAGTTTGGAAATGTGTGCAGAGTTTTGCTGTGAATTTGACGCAGAACAAATCTCAAAATCGGTTAGTTAAAAACTTTTTATATCTAATCATTGTTCCGTACTTGTTGTTCGGCCCACTAATTTTATTCTAGCCATCGCTTGCAAAATCGAGTATCACCAAAAAAAAACACGTTGTAGACGGTCAAATGATGCATAATGTTGAAGCTTTGAAAAATATGGTTTCGAGAAAAACAATCTGAAAGTTACTATTTTTCAGAAAGACGGCGATTTCTGAAAGTGACGTCATTCATTAGGTTGAAATAAAAAAAGTGTTTTTTTTTGATGGTCAACTATTTTTGCAATATATAAAGAAGTGTTTCATACAAAAATCAAGGCAAAAAAGTTTGAAGATGCTTTGATTTCATTTTATGCTGGTATGTAACTGTTCGGAACTGTTCGAAAAAACACCAATTCATTTTAACCGAACAAATAAATAGTGTAGGTTAACCAGTTAAGCTTGATTGAGTTTAATAGTTTTTAGTTGACTCTCAAGCATATTCTCTTTACTTAGTCGTTCTTTTATCTTTAGAATATCCTGACCTGAACAGCACCCACACTCAGATTGAAATAATTTTGCCAAATTCTGAGCTACAGCCAATTTTGGGCAATAACTTTGTTCGACTATATTGATCCACTTAAGCCATGGCACCATTTAAGCCTCTCTTTCGCTGGCAATTTGGCTTCCACGTTCTCGATGGGCAAATTTTGAAGTAGAACTAGGACCTTACAACAGAAAAAAACTTAACCCTCAAGCCAAGACCCTGACATGGTACTCCTACATCCCACCCAAATCATCCTGACGAAAACCCGAATAAATTAGAAAGAAAAAAAAAAGAAAGAAAGAAAGAAAGAAAGAAAGAAAGAAAGAAAGAAAGAAAGAAAGAAAGATAGAACTTATCTCTCTAAGATAACTTTGATTAAAAACTGCAACAAATTTTGGAGAAATGAGACAAAAGGCTCTTGAAAAGAGTTAGGTTTCTTGGCAGATAGAGGTTTTTTATAGGCTGACTTTTTGGTAGACTAAAATCAATTGAAAGTGAAATTGCTAATTTTGAGACAGCATTTGCTCTGCGGTGCTTACAATCGGAACAAATGGTATTGTGCGCCTGAAACAGTGCTCGACGCGTGGGGACTGACCTTTTACCAAACCGCCTTTTATAAGAAAGGTTTATCAGACTTGATAAATAAATTTAATTGACAGATGTAATGAAGCTGTTTAGTCAGGTTAAAAAATTATTTCACGGTTTCTCAGCGAAATTTAGTTTAATCTAACCGCTTTTTTTGACCCTCACTAATCTAAATTTATCTTTATTGAGTTGTTAGAGATGTAGCGACTAGTACGTGTGACACTCAGCATGCGCAAATAAGTAGTTACTCATTTGATAAAAAGTCTACAAAATACGGTAACCAATCAAATCGCAGAAAAAAAGTTCTTCCTAAAACATTTAGTATTTAGTATTCAACGATGAAAAAGAAAACTCCAGGAGAAGGAAAAGCGATTGAATTACACAAAGCTTATGTCAATTGCTCTCGCAGATTTCGGAAAATAACCATACCAGCATAGTCCATACTAGACCAGCACTCGTTGACGCTGATTTCTCCAATTTCAAGCAATGATGAAGGCGGCGAATTTTTGCATTCAGTTGCGCCATTTCAGTTCTTGGGTTGGCAGTCTCTCGCCCTTCTGTTTTTTCCTGATTTTGTGGGAAATGGATAACATCCTTATCGAAGGTTGCACTCTCTCTTTATCTCGCAACCATGACAAATGCCAGCTCTCGCAAATATTTGCAGTAAGAAAATTGAGTGGTCGGCTATAAGTTTTCTGAGTTTTTGGCCCTATAGCCGAAAACTAAAAGTTTGTGGTATAATCAACAAAATCTTGTATTTTTGGTTAGTTCACGCATTGGTTTTTTACGTGTTGGTTCTTTTGGCAAAATTTTCGAAACTTCTGGTTATGCCAATAAGTACTGATTGCTTCGATATAAGGCTAGTGTATAACGGAAAAACAGCCGTAATGCAACGTGTAAGGCAAAAAATAACGTTCTAATTAAACCGATTTCGTAATCAACAAAAATATTTTCGGGTCTGAAAGGCCGATGAAGTTTGGTAACACAATCGATTTGAAAAACTTTCAAAAAAAAATTAATAATACTTTTCAGATTTTCTGCTCAAAAACGCCCAGCAAATTGGAAATATTCTTTCATCAATTACAAAAAAAAACAAATGGATAAATTTGCTATAATGGCCTTGGTTCTGTCCAAAAAGTACCGTCGCATGTCAAAGTATCGAAATTTGGAAGCGTCGACAAAAAAAACCTTGTAATAGCAAAAAGTTTTTGCCAGACGCAGTTGTTTACCAGGTTGAGGGCTAAAAAACTGAGTTTAGGTCTGATGTTATCGGTGGTAGTAGTTTACTGCAGTAACGACTAGGGAAATGCGGAACTTAATGATATTCGGGGGGCAATCAATCTTCCTGCCAGTTTTCAATAACTCGATTGTACAATTTTTTCAATTCTTGACCGGGATTTTTTCATAAATCGGCAATTAATTGCTGCCGAAAACTTTTTTCCGTCAGAATTTCGAAATCTGGATCTAGTTATGTGCTGTATTTTGCCTGGTTTTTCAACATTGGTTGTTTTACTGCACTTGTGTTTTGGCTCATAACATGAATAATGTTTAAAAATTTTGCAATTCGAAATTTGCCTGAATTGAGTTAATTTGAAACGGTCTTTATTTTTCGGTTCAATTTTAAAATTGGTTTTTTTTTTTCGCTGTAATTTGATTGGGTGAAATTTTTATGTTTGTGCTAAGCGGTCAAATCAGTTTAATTGAGTTTGAATTCTAGCTGATCTAATTGCCGCATACCTACGGCACGAATGCAAATAGGCCGGTCCCATATTTTTTTTGCGTAGTGTTCTGGTAAAAAATCACTCTGGTAAAAGTTCCGTTTGGTAAAAAAACTTAGCCTCTCGTTGCTTAAAAAGAGTTTTTTTTTGAAGTTGATAGTCTGCTGATTAATTGTAAGATTTTTTTGTCAATCAAATTTGCGTCATTTGTAATACATTGGTTGGTGGGTTTTTTAAAAAAAATATTAAAAAACTGTCCTGTTTGTACCAAAGTGAAAAATTGGTCGCTTTTGTACCAAAAACTGTTCAATTGCTCAAAGAGTACTAAGAATGCTACCTCGCCGTGTCGAGGTTTGCTATTTACTATTTATGTTTCGACTGACTCGACCAATAAATGGTATGTATCGACCGTCCCGATCCAGGCTCGATATGTTTCGACCGACTCGACCCAAGCTGTCTGTGTTTCGACCGACTCGACCCAAGCTGTCTATGTTTCGACTATGTTTCGACAAGGAAAAACATTTTGACCAAGTTCGACCGAGGAAAAATGTTTCGACCGAGTTCGACCGAAGTGTTTTTCGACTGAAAAAAAAAACAGTTCGACTGTGTTCGACCGAGGAAAAATGTTTCGACCGAGTTCGACCGAAGTGTTTTTCGACTGAAAAAAAAAACAGTTCGACTGTGTTCGACCGAGGAAAAATGTTTCGACCGAATTCGAACGATGAATTTTTTTGACCGAGAAGAAATTCGACCGAGAAAAAACATTTCGGCTGTGTTCGACCAAGGAAAAACTTGTCGACCGAGTTCGACCGAGGAGTTTTTCGATCAAGAAAAAACAGTTCGACTGTGTTCGAACAAGGAAAAATGTTTCTACCGAGTTCGAATGAGGAGTTTTTTCGACCGAGAAGAATTTCGACCGGGAAAAAATAATTCGATTGCGTTCGACGCAGGGTTTTCTCGATTGAGAAGCATTTCGATGTATGTTTGTATGTATGAAAAATGCCATTTTTATAATGTATGTAAGTATTAAAGGATGTTTGTATATAATTATGTTTACATGTAAGTATCTATATATGTATTTATGTATCGGTGTAAATATGTATGTATGTATGTATATATGTATGTATGTATGTATGTATGTATGTATGTATGTATGTATGTATGTATGTATGTATGTATGTATGTATGTATGTATGTATGTATGTATGTATGTATGTATGTATGTATGTATGTATGTATGTATGTATGTATGTATGTATGTATGTATGTATGTATGTATGTATGTATGTATGTATGTATGTATGTATGTATGTATGTATGTATGTATGTATGTAT